ATATTTTATTAATTTTTTAAAATTCAGGCTGCTTAAAAGTATGTGGTCAATAGATTCAACGCGATTAAGGTCGCAGTTGTATGTTCGCTCTGAATACAGAATACCAGTGTATCTACCTGTCAAGACTGCAGATGGTAGAGTGTTAAGACATGCCAAGTGTTCCCTCTAAGTTAGTGCGAGCTAGCTCGCTGTTTTTTTAGCCTCCGACTCGCACATTTTTATCTCAGCTCAGGAAGGATGACTCCAGAGCAAACTAATTTATGCAGTAGCCAAACCGCTTGCTCACAACTTTAATGCCCGTAGCTCATAAAGTAGAATTTGTGCTCACAAGACTCCACTGCTGAGAGGGAACATTGCAAGGCACGTCTATATTTAGGATATGTTAAATCACAAAAATACACTGGGGTGCTAACTGGTAGGGGAATCCTGCAATGAGATCTGGAACTAAGTTTGCTTGGCCTTATTAAATTAGACAAAACTAAAATTAAATGATCGTATGGCATTGTGTGTAGAATAGTCAGGAGATGCGAAGATTGTCTGGCAGCCGCAAGTTGTTGCTCTTAGCATTATGCTAGTGGTGAGCTAGACTTGTTTTTCGGGGCTCAGAGAGCTCTGAAAGAATTGTGACTGGCCCAAGGTCTCCCAGCTGGCTTCACGTGGAGGAGTGGGGCACAATCGTAAGCATATACAGGGTAAATATATTCCAGGACTGAAAACATGGATGGGTGTGTACATGTACATACAGTAGGGTTGGGCATGAACTGGCTCACAAATTAAAGTTCGTGATGAATTTTGGGTGGTTCACGGTTCGCAAACTTAAATTCGTGGCAGGTCAACTGGCACAAACTTTCCATGTGGCAGTTCGTGAATGGATACGTTTCCAGACAGTCTCCGCTCAATCGAACTTCAACGGCAGGGTGAGGTTCTGTGTAGCTTGCAGGGAGTCCATTCTATGCACTTCTGAACCTGCGCCTGGAATTTCCCCCAAAAGTACTTTCCCGGGGGCATCTTTTTGGGGGCCATTATTTGGACCCCCGAAGTCCAATCTGCACATAACATGGAAGGCACATAGAGGAGCATCAGGGGGTAGTTCCCTGTAAGCAGGGCTATTTTTGGGCAGGAACGCACAGGAACGGAGTTCCGGCTGGCTCCCAAGTTGGCCACGCCCAGCAGGAACTCATTAGCATAATAGGCCACACCCAACAGCAGAAACTCATTAGGATTGGCTACATTAGGGGTGTGTGGCCTACCATGCAAAGGAGTTCCTGCTACAAAAAAGGCCCTGGGTTTTGACCACAAACAAGGTCAACAGAATAAGAAGCAAAAGGTGGGTGTGGCTGGATGACCACACTTCTGGTAACACGGGGATACGGGGAATGCGGCTTAATAGGCTAATGAGTGGTGCAGTCAGGGGTGTGGCCTAATATACTAATGCGTTTCTGCTTCGGGGTGTGGCCTATTATGCTAATGAGTTCCTGCTGGACTTTCTCTACAAAAAAGCCATGCCTGTAAGTGTGACGCCTCTAGCTTTTACAGGGTCCATTCAATACAGTCGTGAACCTCCTGAATCTGCACCTGTTATTTCCCCCAAAAGCACTTTTCTGGGAGCACCATCTTCCGGGGGGCTGTAACTTGGATCCTGTAAATTCAATCCTTACCAAACTTGGAGGGGAGGTAGAGGAGAGTCAGTCAGAGATCCCGCATGAGTCTGATGTCTCTAGCATACTGGGCGGGGGGGGGATTCTACCACATCACAAACCAAACTGGTTCATTTGACACCGAAAAGTTCATGATAGTTCGCGGCTCACAAACAAAAAGGAACAACATTTTATTTATTTATTTATTTTGACTCGTATCTCGCTCTCCCCAAATGGCGGGCTCAGGATGGGTTACATCAAATTTGATAAAAAATACAATATACACAATTAAAAACACTAGTAAAATATCACAGTAACCTTCATCCAGTGCCGTTGTCATTGACATTAAAACTTCACAGATGCCAACTCTGGTATGCAGTTCTGACCCGCTGAGGGGAGGCCCAGTAAAGAGGGAGGGACGTTCGTCGCCCTAGTTAAAAGCCTGGCGGAAGAGCTCCATCTTGCAGGCCTTGCGGAACTGTAAAAGGTCCCGCAGGGCCCTGATCTCATATGGAAGCTCATTCCACCAGGTAGGGGCCAGGGCTGAAAAGGCCCTGGCCCTTGTCGAGGAGAGATGGACGTCCCTGGGGCCGGGGACCAAAAAAAGATGTTGCTTGTTGGCAGACTTTGTCGCATGTGCCCGCCCCCTGGGCTCTTTACTGCCGGAGCTCTGCTCCTGTGCGCTCCTGCAGGAAATGACCCCTGTGTCCTTTAAAGGTAAGCCTGGTTCAGGCCCATCCCTGCATATAGGAGTTGGAGATTGTGTATGCCTAGCGATAGAATTGTCATGTTCAGTTTCTTTGTATTCAAGCCTGCTTTTGGGGGTGGGGGGAGAGCTTCTCCGCAGGATTCCCAAAATACCATTTTGTGCGATCAAGTGGACACAGCCTACGTTTATGCCACAAACAAATCTGTTTACGATTCCACAAGAAGGTGTCATTTTTTGCAAATTCCAAAGGGGGTAAGCCAAGCAATTATAATTATTTGGTTATTTATCATCTGCCTTGCTGAGACTCAAGATGGATTCCGTAGTGTAAAGTCAAGTACAATCAACAAGATGGGACTTCCAATGAACAATACAAGAGGGTTTGGACTACAGGAATCCGTAAACAAAAGAGAAATTTTAAGCAGAGCTGAAACAACGCATGAGCTCTTAAACATGATATGTTGTGTAGAAACTACCTGGTCTGGAGCATATATACAGAGTTTAGGCAGCAACATAATAGTATAGGCCACAATCTCGGTCCCTTGACCGATGCATCTTACTGACCATTTCATTACAATACAGCCCTACTTAACCTGTGCAAAAAGCTCTCTTGAATAATTCCGTTTGTGGAGGTTGTGGAAAGCCACAAGAGTGGAGGAAGAGGAGGAGGAAGAAGAAGAGGAGGAGGAAGAGGAGGAGACTGGATTTATACCCCACCCTTCACTACCCGAAGGAGTCTCAGAGCAGTTTACAATCTCCTTTCCCTTCCCCACCTCACAATAGATACCCTGTGAGGTAAGTGGGGCTGAGAGAACTGCCCTTGAGAGAACAGCTCTGAGAGAACTTGTGACTGGCCCAAGGTCACCCACCTGGCTCCATGTGGAGGAGTGGGGAATCAAACCCGATTCTCCCAGATTAGAGTCTGCGCTCCTAACCACGACACCAAACTGGCGTTCCTGACCTCCTGGGGGGGGGAGGCCATTCCATAAGGTGGGGACCCCGACACAGAACGCACAAGTTCAGCAGTTGCACTCCAAACAAAAGGGAGTTTTGCGGCACCTTAAAGACTTCTAGATCAAATCAAGCCTGGACTCTCTCAAGAAGGGCCAAACTGAGGCTATCGTACTTTGGTCACATGATGAGAAGACCAAGAGTCACCAAAAAAGCCCATAATGCCAGGAAAATTTGAAGGCAACAGCAAAAGAGGAAGACCCAAAAGGAGACGGATCGATTCTATAAAGGAAGCCACAGCCCTCAGTTTGCAAGATCTGAGCAAGGATTTTAAGGACAGGGCGGTTTTGGAGGACTGAAATATACCCGGGTTCAGACGCGTTGAGTGATCAGCTCATAGTTTATTAGTGATTTCAGCTAACTGTAAGACAACCTCAGCAGGACGGCAGCCCTGCTTAAATGTGCACCCAACACCACACCCAACACACACCCACACCCAGTGATAGGCTATTTACACTCCCACTCTGGCTTAATTGGTTCCTTCCAGGATCCTGGCTGTCTATCGTTTGGTTCAGGGCCGGTCCCAGCTGGATCCCTTCTGGCACCACCACCCCCGTGCGCCCACCAATTTTCAAAAATAAATGCATTTTAAGAAGAATAAAAAACACAAATAATCAAGAAACTCCCAGAGTACGGGCCGGGTGCAGTTTGGCGCCCCTAAGGGCCGGCCCGCTCTAGGCGATTGCCTAGTTCACCTAGTGATTGAGCCGGCCCTGGATTGGTTACTCAAGCTTGGTCAAGGTCCTAGGTACCATTCAAGCTAGGTATATAACAAGGACATTAATTGGTAGGGATAGATTCAGGTTGGTCTGAAGCAACAGAACATATCTGAAGAGGTATCTGAAGAAGTGTGCCTAACTTTGTCATCTTAAAGGTGTCACTGGAGTCAAACGTGAGTTCTATTAATTCATGGGTCCGCATAAGTTCAGAAGTGACTTGATGGCCCTTAAGGCACACAAAAGACTCCATGGTAGATCCTTTGCAAAGAGTATTCTCGATCATAGATGGATGGCATTTGGGGGTCAGAGTGTGAACAGTGGGGGCCAAAAAGGCTGCGGAAAGCGTGTTCAGAAACGATGCTACAGAAAGTTTACTTTTGAAAAATGAGTTTGTGGTTGTTGTTTTTTTGGGGGGGGGTGAGAAAAGCCACGATTGGGGAGGGGACTCCGGGAGGGTTGGTGCAGAGACGTCGCCCCCTGCCTTTGTGCGGGTTTTGCAAAGGGGTACAGCGCCGTGCGCCCATCCCGTGACATTTCCCTTTCCTTTCTCCAAGCGAGAAAGAAAAAGGAGAGGTGGCTACAGAAGGGGGCGGAGCCGAGAGAGAAAAGTAGGACGGGCGAAGGGAGGGGAAAAGACAAGTTGGAGGAGGGGGGGAGAGAGAGAGAAGGGGGCAAAGGAAAAGAGGAGGGAGAAAGCCCTGGGAAGGAGGGAGGGGGGGGAGAGGCGAGGGGACACGGGCCCTGGAGTTGCCAAAGTGGGGAAGGCGGAGATCTAGGCCCTCCGGGGGGCGTGTGCCAAGGCCGGGATCGCGCCCTCTACGATGTGGAAAGGGGACGGCGGCCAAGGGGGAGGAGGCCCGCACGGCTAGGGGAGAGCGGAGGAGGAGGGGACCGGGCCGGAGGAAGGGGAGA